CCCCCCCCCCTTTTTCATTTATTTAAGGTCACCAGATCAAAACTAGGCATAGGCGTCAAGTCTAAGTGGGGTTCTTGTGGGGTTTGAGAATTGTAAGTCAAGCAATATGCCTAAAACCTGTGTACAACAGACAGCCCTGCTGACAATTGATACATCCTTCCACAGACACACGTTCCTGACACCAACCGTGCCTAAGGAGTTTACAAGACATAGTTTCTAAAAGCGAACAAACAAATCACTTGCATTAGAGACAGGTCGCAAATGAGACATTAGAGTTTACAGCTCAGGAACTAAAGTCGATAGAATACTTGCTAAATGCCTTTTAGATGATTAATTTTTAAATTACTAGGTTTAAAAAATGTTTTAAATCATTTTATTGGCTCATACAACTCTTTATCATAATCCATACATACATCAATTGTGTAAAGCACATTTGTACATTGTTGCCCTCATCATTCTCAAAACATTTGCTGTCCACATAAGCGCCTGGCATCAGCTCCTTATTTTTCCCCCTCCTTCCCTGTTCCCCCCTCCCTCATGAACCCTTGATAATTTACAAATTATCATTATTTTGTCATATCTTATACTGTCTGACGTCTCCCTGCACCCACTTTTCTGTTGTCCATCCCCCAGGGAGCAGGTTATATGTAGATCCTTGTAATCGGTTCCTCCTTTCCAACCCACCCTCCCTCTACCCTCTTGGTATCGCCACTCTCAGCACTGGTCCTGAAGGGATCATCCGCCCTGGATTCCCTGGGTTTCCGTTCCAGGGACAGCATGTTTGTTGTTCTTGTTGACCTCTTAAAATTAGAGGTTACAGGTTGTTGCTGAAATGATGAAGGCAGCGGCTTGACTTCCCTTTTTCCACCCTTTTGTCGATTCTTCTCCGTTACTTTCTTCTGTAACCAGATTGCTCAAGTGCATTCAGTAAACTGTGGTTGTCGAGTTATATAGTTCCCCCCTTTAAGTGACATCCGTCACACTAAATAACGTCTGAAGATGAAAGCCCCCTCCTCGGGAAACTGTCCACATGGTTGTATGGGGCCAGTTCACCGGGGTCTCCTGCTGATGGAGCTGCCTGATTCCAGTCCAGGCACAAACAGCTCCTGGGTCTGCTGAGTCCTCGGCAAGCGGCCTGGACCTTTGTTTTCGGGGTATTGATCGGCATAAACCCCCTTGTAGTTGCACTTAGCCTTACAGCAGTAGGCACATGTCAGTGCTGCAATGCTTTGTCTTGTGAGCACATCCACAAAACCTCTCTTAGGACATTCAGAGTAAATTTATCTTTTAGGGATTTTAATTTGTCATTTGGGTTGGACATCTTGTTGTGGCAATAAATAAAATAATGTTCCAAAATGGGTCAGCTAGCAAAATTGGCCTGGTGATTAAGATGATAACGGTTATACAGATAAGCTATCTTATCTTTCCCCTTTTTGTTTCACTGTCTGTTACCTAGCTCACTATTAAAACCACTGACATCCTAACGTGAGGAGGTAGGGGAAGATGCGTTATGAAAAGGTCCATGTCTTTATTGAAAGAGGACTTGCTCACACCCTCTCTGTTGACTTGATCTAGGGGGCGCTGCTGCAGGAAGCCTCAAAAGCCCAGCAGTTAGAGTGTGATAGTCAGGAGTTCTTGCCCACAGACTTTGACCTTCACAGGCGTCACTGAGCCTTTTCTGTTCCGACAGACCTCGTGCAGGATATTAAGTTTGCTTTTGCAGAATGCATGCTGTTGGGCTTGGAAGAAGCAAGTGGGAGAATGAGGCTTGCACAGATCTGTGCAGCTGTTAGTGCTCCCAGCATAAACTAAAACGAGTGTCATCGTTACTGTTAGTCACCATTGTGTACACAGTGACCCTGTGTACAGCAGAAGGAAACCCGTCCTGCGCTGTCCTCAACGGTGGTTACTATGTGAGCCCATCTCTCAGCCGCTGTGTCCGTCCATCTGGTCAAGGATCTTCCTTTACTTTACCAAACATGATGTCCTTCTCTAGGGACTGGTCTCTCCTGCTAATATGTCCAAAGCGCAACAGACGTCAGAGTTGAGGTGAAAATGTGCCAGCCTTGCACCTAAAGAGCATTCTGGCTGCACTTCTTCCAAGGCAGATTTGTTTGTTCTTTGTACAAGCCAGTGCTTTCAGGATTCCTCACCAGCACCACATTCAGAGGCGTCAATTCCTCTGTACTCTTCCTCATTCGCTGGCCAGCTAGCACACGCATATGAGGCACTTAAAGTAAAACCCTGGCTAACCAGTGTTCGGATTCAGGAGAGTCACCTGCTGAAGTAAGGAAAGGCCTTGTTCTTTGGAACGTGAAATACTAGTAAAGCTAGGCTTGGAGCATCAGCTGATCTGCTTACCCTGAAAACCATCCCACTCATTCCTGATTCCATGTTGTTTGCCCCTCAAGCTCTTTCTAACCCCATTGTTCTCCCAAGACCAACTGGACCCATGAAGACTTTCTGACTGTCATTTCTTCATAAATCCTCACTTTGGTCTTGACACTTCTATCCAGGCCTCTTCCTTTTTAGAATTTACCTTCCGAATTTTTGCCACTCGTTTGGTTGCCATCTCAATAGCGACACTAGAAAACAACTTCTGGAATGAGAACTGTTTCTTGATGCTCTTATAAAGCCCAACGTATGTGTTGTAATGGATTGTTGTTGTGTGCTGTTGAGTTGACTCTAGCCCATTGGGATACTATCTGTAGAACAGGCCCCAGAGTGTTTCCTAAGCCTAAGTCTCTATGGGAGCAAGTTACCACGTCTTTTCCTTGGTGAGCTTTTGGTGAGTTTGAACCACCAATCCTTTGTTGGTGCTTAATCATTGCACCACTAGGGCTCCTATTGGTAGAAAGTAAAATCTTTTGGTTGATACCACTAACTACATTGTGAATCACAGGATAGTGATTATTATACATCTAGAAAACACAAAAGAGCCCTGCTGGTGTAGTGGACTAAACGGTGGGCTGCTAAAGGCAAGGTCAGCTGTTCAAACTCACTAGCTGCTCCTCCAGGGAACAATGAGACTGTCTGCTTCTATACAGATGTACAGTTTCAGAGACCCTCTGGAGCAGATCTGCTCTGTGTATAGAGTCTCCATAAGTCAGAACCAACTGCATAGCAGTGAGGGAGTAGCTTAACCTGCCTGGGATTTTTTAAAAATCTTTTTAGATTTTGTATTTGGCTATTGATAGGAAACATGTAGAAATGAAAAATCTCAGAAGGGAAGTTTTCTTTTATCATACCTGCCCTTAAAATGTTCAAACCAAATAGTCTGCAGGAAGCGATTTGATGCAAGCAGAAAACTGAGTAAAAAGTTAAACTTCCTTGGGAAAATAAATTCAGGAGCCACTAATGAATTGTCTTCATTATTAATTAATAATGCAAGGTAACGAAATTAAGAGAGAAAGGCCACTCCTGTAGCCTGGATTCTCCTTCAGGGGCCTGCGCAGCAGCACCAGCACCATTACCTATATAGAAAGACACCTTGGAGAGAAGGCATCTTGCACTTACACCTCAGTGACTCTGGCACTCTGCACAGAGACGTTCTCACGACTGTGGGATTTGTCTCTGACACACCTTGATTCATGTTCCTTGTAGTTACTTTGGAGAAGCATAATTGGTTTTTATATGATTTTTTATAAAGCTCAAATGATCAAAACCACATTTATAGATTTTCAGAGGTTCTTAAATTTGACCCCTGTTTAGCAGCTGCCTCTAAATCCCCTGGGAGATTTAAATAATATGGACACAAAACTCTGTCCTGGGGGAGTTTACTGAAGTTTTCTTGCATGCTCTGTTCAACTGCACTTCCTCTGTGTCCATTGACAGTCTCAGCCTATCTGCACTGTAGAGGTTAGGAGGGAGACTCAGCACCAGACACATGGGGTTTGCATCCTGACTCAGTCATTTCCAGTGTATTTAACTTATGGCACACCTCAACACCTCATCAGTCATAAAATTTTTGCCTCCCAAGGCTGATATGAGGATTAATTAACAACCATTTACATTACTCTACTGGCATTAAGTTGATTTTATAGGACAGTAAAGAACTTCTTTTTAAAAAAAATCATTTTATTGGGGCTTCATATAGCTTTTATCACAGTATATCCATCCTCCCATTGTGTCAAGCACATTTGTACATCTGTTGCCATTATCAGTCTCAAAACATTTTCTTTCTACTTGAGCCCTTGGTATCAGCTCCTCATTTTTCTCCCTCCCTCCCTCCTCTTTATAATTTATAAATTACTATTATTTTTCATGTTTTACACTGACTGTCACCCACTTTTCTGTTGTCTGTCCCCCAGGGAGGGAGTTACATGTACATCCCATTGTGATCTGTTCCCCCTTTCTCCCCCCACCTTCCCCTCCTGGTATTGCTACTCTCAATATTGGTCCTGATGGGTTTATCTATCCTGGATTCCCTGTGTTTCCAGCTCCTATCTGTACCCCTGTACACGCTCTGGTCTAGCTGGAATTATAAGGTAGAGTTGGGATCATGATAGTGGGGTGGGAGGAGCATTAAAGAACTAGAGGAAACTTGTATGCTTCATTGGTGAAGAACTGCTTCTTAAAAGTGTCTGAAACTAAATCTGTATGGGATCAGACAGCCCCATCTCTCTCCCAAGAAGTTGCTGGTGGCTTGGGTTTGAACCTATGACCTTTGGGTTAGCAATTCAATGCCTACCCACTAGATCATCAGGAATCCTTAAGTATTAACAAACATTTTAAATGTAGCATGTTGTAGAACACCTCAATGAATACGGACGTATGTTTGTGCATCATTTCCCTCTTATATGTGTGAGATTTGGAAATTTCAAAGAAGCATCTATGATCAAGCAGGAAGTGGCATAATGTACTGTGTCTGACAGGAAAAGAAGGGATGGTCGGTCAAAGGGTCATGAGTAGGATTGCCTGGGAGGCATCTTGGAGGATTGCCTCCACTGACTCCTGAATTACTTTCAGTGTTAAAAATATTCTTTCTCTCAAATTTGCAGCGGAGATCAAAATCTGTTTTAAATACTACCACGGCATCAGTGGAGCCCTGCGAGCCACGACCCCCTGCATCACGGTGAAGAACCCCGCTGTGATGGTGAGTGCCCTCCTTGCTGGCGTCCTCATCCTGGCCACAGAGGGTCTCGTTCTGTTTCTGCCGGTGAAGCTCCCACAGGGTGATGAGGAACAATGGGAAAGGAAATTCAACAGCATGGGGACCATTTTAGGAACGGAAATAGCATACAAGGCAGGCATACCTAAATCCATAATACAGATTGAGGGAAAGGGAAAAGCGTGGCCTGATAACAATAGTTCTGTGTATAGTCAGCTCTCCAGCAGACCTACTCATGAGGCAAAGCAGCAAGTGCCCCTGGGGGTGGGGAAGGTCAACTAGTCATCCAGACCAAGTCTAAAACCTTCCCCACCAAGGTCGTAGGCTTTGCATCTCGCATGAAGGTAATGAATGTACATAACCTACTTTTCACAAATTTAGCTGTGCTTTCTTAAAAACAAACAAAAAAATTAGAAGCGAGAAGAAGAGAAGAAGAATTGTTTAAGCAGCGTGTGATTGCTCCTGTGAGGCTGCTGAAGAAGCTTCATCCCACAGAGAGAGTGAGATGCCCTTCTGCGTCTCAGGCGCGCCATGCGTAGGCTCGCTCTCCGCGCTGTGCTTGAGGTTTAAGATCTAAGATCTTGTACGTAGTGTTAGTATGACGGTCACCAAATGGAAGCCAAACTCGTCAACAGGTCCTCAACTGAAAAAAACCATCAACAGTGTCGTCTGTGAGGAAATTAGGTGTGCCGGAGTCTGGCGAGAAAGTGTGCCTGTTTATAACATGACATTTTCCTGGGGATTAATTTTTCCTAATGGTATTTTTAACTTGATAGACAAGCTAACAGCTGAAGTTCTGTTGTCCCTGGGTGGTTGGACTCACTTGGCCTTTGGAGATTCTGAATCTAAGATGTCTAGATCATTGAAGTTTTAATTAGTGATTCATAAACCTCGGGTCATTAAGTTGTTGGAGATAATTTTCCATCTCTGTAAAATAAGATCTTTACAGCTGTGTGTGCGCACGCTCACTGATACTTGTGTACTTTGTAAATAGGCAAGTGGCTGGTTGTATCCCTTAAATAATAATAATAAAGAAGTCTCTACAGGGCATTTTGAAACTGTCTAAAGAGACCAAGCCAAAGCTTTCTAAAATCGTGCTTTGTGTCTGCCACTCGGGATAAACTAACGAGCAAAACTATCACCCTTTCCCACATTGATCTGGTGGGAGGTAGGAGACCAATTCCAGTTGTATTTATGTGACTGATCATTGCTATTCAGGGGAGTGAAATAGGGCTGCTGGAACATGTACATGCGACACTCGACCTCGTCAGAAAGGCTTCCCTGTCGTGGGCAATGCTGGGGGAGGAAGAGCATTTCAGGCAGAGGGAACAGTGTGTGCGAAATCCTCACTCTCGAAGTACTCTTCTTACATTGGAATTACATTTCAGTTCCGCCTTGTAGTAATGTAAAGCAGTCCCACTTCCACCGAGTCAGTCCGGAAGGACAGCAACCATGTTAGGCTGTGGTCTGTAGAGAAGCAAGCCCGTGGCACCTGTGTGTGTGGAAAGAGATGGACATCAAGAAATGACACGCACAGTGTAGAAGCAGGTGTGTCCAGCCTGGTTTAAGTCCCTGGGTCAGATGTAAGCAAGGGGCTTCCCAACTCACATAGTGACCCAAGCTAATGAATAGGAATCAGAAAGACCATAGGCTGATGGATGCAAAATTGAATAAGTCCAAGGTTGGCAGTTGGCCGACGACAGTGAACCAGATGCAGGACCCAGATCCAGCAGCTGATGTTAACTAGCTTCCACACAGGGTCCGTCTATAGTAAAAGTAGGCCACGCTTCAAAAAAGCCTCCCTCAATTATATCAAGGCTGTTACCAGTTTAAGAAGGTGGCACTCTACCCTATTCTGCCCACACCTGTTTGGCCTCTTCACAGAAGACCCCATTATGGAGTTGATCAGACACACAGTGCTTCAGATCACATCGTGGGAGAACCCTGGACTATCTACATTGATATAAAACCTACCGATCACAGCTGATAGTGGAGTCTGAGAGGAAACTGTATGTGTTGGACTCTGAAAAGAAAGTATGCCCATTTATATAACGTGACACTTTCCTAAGGATTAGTTTTCATGATTCGATGTTTCACTTGAAAGACAAAGGAACAGCCTTCCAAGCTGCAGCTCCTAAGTACCACCGAAAAGCCACCACTTGCCTGTCAGTTTGTCACACTGTGGTGCCTTGTATGTTGCTGTGGTACTGGAAACAGTGGTGCTGGTATGGTGACGTTTTCTCAATACCACCAGGGTCACCCAAAGTGAACACATTTAGTGCAGCTTGCAGGCTAAGAACAGACACTGAAGAAAGAACAGGTTGTCCATTCTGGATGGATAGCATCAAAATATTGTCAGGTACCGAAGGCCTAAGGAATAGAAGCAGGACATTGTCAGAGATCATGCCAGAAGATAAGCCCCTCGGGTAAACAACAACAACAACATGCTAACTCTCCTAAAAGTCCAGTCACCCATAGTGATGTAGGATGGAGTCAGCTGTGGGCGTAAAGCCTTTGGACCTCCATTTGCCGAGGAGCTCACACTGCCATCAGCTCAGTGCGGACTCATAGTAGCCCCTGCGGGGTTCTGAGACTGGAACTGTTTAAAAGAGTGAACATCTCAGTCTTTCTCTCTGGAAGTTGCTGGTGGTTTTGAACTGCTGACCATGTAAATTGCAGCCCATCACATAACCATTATACCACTAGGGCTCCTCAAAATGAGAAGAAGGAGATGCTGAAATCTAATCACTGGAATATGGAATATACGGAATATGAATCCAGCAAATACAAAGTAATCAACAATGAAACGGGATACACATACAAATCCGTATCTTAGGTGTTCGTGAGATGAGGCAGACTGGTATTGGCCACTTTGAATCAGAAACGCATATTGTTTACTCTGCTGGGAATGACAGGTTCAAGAGGAATGGCTTTGCATGTATCCAAAACCCTGCTTCAAGATCTACCTTGAAGTACAAGGATGGCTGTGATAGGATAATATCTATACAAATACAAGGCTATCTAAGCAAGACAAACACTATTCACTTTTATGCACCTACCACGAAATCTAGTTATACAAAAGTGGAAAAATTTTGCTGTTGTCTTCTGTATGAAATTGATCAAACATACAATCAAGATACAGTGATCTTTATTGGCTAGAGGAATGCAAAAGTTGAAGCAAAAAGGAAGGATCAGGAGTTGGAATATGTGGAGTTGGTGATAGAAACGAAGCAGGAGATCCCATGATAGAATTTTGCAAGACCAATGACTTCATAGAAATATCTCTTTTCAACAGCACGCATGGCCACTATACACATGGACCTCTCAAAATGGAATACACAGAAATCAAATTGACTACATCTGTGGGAAGACACAATGGAGAAGTCCAATCTCAGCAGCTGAAACCAGACCAGGAGCTGACTGTGGAATAGACCACCATTGCTCAAATGTGAGTTTAGGATTAGACCACCATTGCTCACATGTAAGTTGAAGCTGAAGAAAATTAAAACAAGTCCATGGGAGCTAAAGTACAACCTTGAATCTATCTCCTCTGAATTTTGAGGATAGCTCAAGAATAGATTGACAAATTGAACAGTAATGATAGAAAACCTGATGAGCTGTGGGGGAGCATCAAGAACATCATTCATGAAGAAAGTAAAAGGTCGCCAAAGAGATAAGAGTGGTAGTTACATAATCTCTTGTCAATTTGAGACTTAAGAGTGAAGGGGTAGAGTTTCGCCTGTCAGTCAGGTCGCAGCTTGATGACCTCTTTTGGAGGCGTGAAGGAGATAAATAGCTTGCTGGAGGCTGGACACACACTCACTCCCTGCGAGACATTACTGGCAATGAGTCTGATAGAGCTACACTGATGCAGCCAGAGCTCTGGAGCCAGAGGAGCCATGTGGAGACCCCTGCCAGTGCTAAGATGCTCACATTGCCACTGGATCTACAAGACTTTCCACCCTCTGGCCTGTGATCTTCTTGCATTTGGAGTCATTGTATGTGTTTCGCGAGTCTAAAGAGGAATTTGTAGATTGGTATCAGACAGATGGGCTAATATCAGACTTTTGGACTTGATCTGGACTGGGCTGGGATGTTTTCTCAATGTATAATTGCTCTTTTATATAAAACTCTTTCTTAAGCATATATGGGTGTCTGTGAATTTTGTTTCTCTAGTCTACCCAGACTAACACAATAAGAAACAAAAAAGAAAAGATCAAAGTGGATGTCAGAAGAGATTCTGACTGACACTTGTTTTTAATCATAGTAGCTATGATGAAAGAAATGATGAGTCAAAGAGCTAGACAAAAATTGCAAAGGGCAGCTCAAGAAGACAAAGTCAAATATTATAATGAAATGTGCAGAGACCTAGAGCTAGAAGATAAAAAAGGAAGAACATGCTCAGCATAACTTAAATGAAAGAAGTCAAGACAAAAAATATCAAACCTCCAGTGACAATATTGAAAGATTCTATGGGCAAAATATTGAATGCTGCATCCAAAGAAGATGGAGAGAATACACAGAATCACTGTTCCAAAAAGAACTAGTCAACATTCCACCATTTAAGAACCAATGGTACCGACATGATTGCTGAAGACAAAATGAGTGCACAAGCAAATGTGGTGAAGAAAGTTGATGGTGCCCGACTATTACAAGATATAGCTTCTGGGATCTTAAAGGCTTGAAGGTAAACAAGTGGCCATCTAGCAGGGAAGCGACAAAGCCCGCATGGAAGAAGCACACCAGCCTCTGTGATCACAAGATGTCCATGGGATCAGGTATCAGGCCTCAGAAGACTCCAAACAACCATTTTGATGCAAATAAGGGAGGTCAGAATGAAGACCCAAAGCCCATCTGTAGACAATTGAATATCCCCTCACAGAAGGGTCACAAGGAAGGGACAAGCCAGCCAGGGTATAGCACCAACGAAACACGCAACATTCCTCTAGTTCTTTATTGCATCCTCCCTCCCACTCTCATGACTC